GAGGGAGAGGTGTGCAAACAGAGGGTCAGAAGGTTGCTCTTTGCACAGTGGCACACGCCTGTAATCACAGCTACCTGGGGAACTGAGGCAGGCAGATCACTTGGGGCCAGGAGTTCAAGACCAGCCTGGACATAGCAAGACCTCGTCTCTACCAAAGGGAAAAAAAAAATACAATTAGTCAGGAGTTGTGGCAAACACCTGTATTCTCAGCTATTCGGGAGGCAGAGGTAGGAGGATTGATCAGGCCCTGGTGTTTGAGGTTGGTGAGCTGTGAGCATGCCACTGCGCTCTAGCTTGGGTACAGAACAAGATCCTGTCTCTAGCAAAATAAAAAATAAAAAATAAAAGATTTCTCTTGGGAATCTTAATACCTAAGTGGTGAGTGGAGGAAGACCTGTCAAGGGACACTGAGAAGGGGTTATCTAAGAAGCAGAAGGACACCCAGCAAAGAGTGTGATGGAGAATTTCATCATTCAGGGATTCCTAAAATTCACTTCTGGAAAACCCATGATTCCTGATATTTATTTCCAGGCAGACTGAGATGCTTGTAACGAAGATAAAAATTTCCCTATTGCTTCATCATGGAAGCATTTTACTGGAAAACACGCAAAGCAGGGTGGGCTGCGGAACAGACACATACGCTCCACTCTCTGCTAAGTTAACCCTCTCCCCCGACCTCACCGCAGAGCAGCACAGGCTGCCAGGACCACCGCCCCGGAACACGAAGGAGGCCCAGCTCTGGCTGACTCAGCTGCGTTCATGGACACTGCCTTATTCCTTCCCGCCTCAGCTTCTAATCTGTACACAGCGGATAACAAGGGTGCCTGCAGCTCCCCAAGTTCATGAACATGCTGAGTGTGAGATCAGGGATGCTTGTAAAGTGCTCTGAGCTCCTAAAAGGAAATAAATATGAACCATGCACATTATTTTTGTAACCCTGTTAATAAGTTTCTATGTAATCCCTCATCATCAAAGAAGCTGTCCCCCAGGCACTGCATTTTATCTCACCCAATGTTGAACAAAGAATTTGGTTACCATGGGAACTAAGGAATCTCTCTCTCTCTCTCTCATGCAGACATATGTACATATGCTCCAGATTCCAGAAACCCCAAAGGGGTGAAAGAGTTAAACTGGGAGAGGATGACAGAGGGAGGGGGTTTTGGTCCAAGGAGGTAGAAAATCCTAACGTGTTATTTTCAGGGAGTGTCTGGTGCAGGCACAGTGAGGAAGAAAGATACGGCATGACTCTGAGCTTGACCATCTACTTTGTCTGGAGCTTTAACAATCAACAGGTCAACACAAATCAGGGGACAGTTGGCTGGGCATGCGGCACTGTGTGAGGCAAAGGAAGCGTCAGACTAGGGACTGACAGTCTCACAGCAACTGAAAAAGAGGCTGAACACGATAACTAAGCGCTCCATGCAGCCCGACTGAGCCAGCACTTATGGAGTGGAGCACCACCCAAAAGAGTACGAGCCAGACACGATAAAGGCTGTGAGAATGATGAGGAGGCCTTCCTACCCTTGTGAAGTCTAAGTGTAGTGGCCAGGACAGAAACAGGACATACACAAACATGATGTGGGTGGAAGGAAACAGTGGCATGGAGACAGAAGTTTCTGGGGGCAGGGGACAGGAAGGATCAGTTCTGACTTGAAACATGAAGACAAGGTATCCAGGAAGACATCACATTAAACAATTATTTACTGAGCATCTTCTTGGTGCCCGCAGTGACCAGCACAACATTCCTGTCCTCACACAGCTCTGAACAAGCAGAGCCTGGGGAGGGGCTGAGGCAGGTGTTGTGTCCAGGGTGGGGGCGGGATGCTCGGAGGTCAGTGCACAGTTGGGAGGGGGCTCTGT